AATTTCAATTATTTTTTGAAATTTACTAATATAATTAGTGAATATATAAGCAATAGAAAATAACTTATGTAAATTAGTAATTTGTATACTCTCTAAATCTGAATTAGTTAAAAATAACTAATTAATAGTAGAATCTTACTAATTCATAAAGTAAGTCACTAATAATTAGTAAAAACTTACTAATTCAAATAGTTATTTTGGTTTAACTAATTCAATTAGTAACTTTTTAATGCGGCTCCCGGGGGCGCAAATTACTAATTGATTAGTTAAAACTACTAATTGTTTACTAATTCATTAGTCATTATACAATTTTACCGCCAAATCGTAAATAATCAATAAAAATTTATCAACTTATTCATACTAAAATTTTAAATTTTAAAAGTCGAGTTTCAAAAATAAAATTTTTCGCATGTAGTTTCTTCATGATTGTATAAAAAATATTTTATTTTTAAAAGTCAGTTTTCATGGGTTAAATTGCATAATATTGGCAAAATTCATATAAAATTTTTTACGTTCTGGTGGTTCATTTGATATATTATTTCCGATTTTTTTTTTGAGTAAAGATTTTATTAAAATTTTCACTTTATAGTAATTTATTAATTTACTTAAAGACAGTTTAGATACACATACATAGTTACTTTTGGTGAAATAAAATTAATAAAAAAATTTTAACGGTTAGTTTATATCAAAAAATTTTTTGAAAAATAAATAATTTCAAAAGTAATATTTAAAGCACCAAACAAAATATTTTGAACATAGTACAAGCTATAGTATTACATAATACTTAAAAAAACAGAACAATAATTTTAAAATAATAAATGCTTTCAAAAGTTGTATTTTAAGCATCAAACAAAGTATTTTGAATAGAGTACAAGCTATAGTTTCACATAATACTAAAAAAACAAAAAAATATTTTAAAAAAACCCATGGAAGATGACATACGTCATAAAAATAATAGAGGTTACGTTTAACTGACTAATTCAATTAGTAACTCGGGTGTAATAACTAATAGAATTAGTTAATTTGATTACTATTTTAAATTAGTAATGTTCAAATACTAATTTTTTACTATTTTATTAGTAAAACTTCCAAAAATAACTAATTCATTAGTTGAAATTTAATTTACTAAATGAATTAGTTATTTTTTTACTAATTCCGATTTAGAGAGTATAACATAACCTTTAAAATTAACTGTTAAATCAGTAGATTTTGCGGCCACTGCCATATTACTGATTCAATCAGTAATTTATATTTTACTAATTGAATCAGTAAATTTCTACTAATTATCAGTTGCTCAATTCTCGCTATGGCAATTAGTAGATTTCTACTGCTAATCAGTGAAATATGACTGATTCAGATTTAGAGAGTACCCTTTTAGTTTAATAAGTCTTAAATTGAGTTTATACAATAGAAATGTCGAATTTTCTATTTCAAAGGTGTCACAGAAAATTAAAAGGCATTAAAATAAGCTGCAACGCTTATTATTTTTATTCAATTTTGCTTATTTTAATCCATTTTGGTATTAAAATAAGCAAAATTGGATTAAAATAAGAAGCGTTGCAGCTTATTTTAATGCCTTTTAATTTTCTGTGGTTTTGACTCAAATCGCGCCGCAATTAGTGCATTTACCCTATTTATAAAAGAAAATAATAAATTATACCAAAAATATCAAATTGATACAAATTTTTATATCAATTTGATATTTTTGGTATCTATTTGATATTTTTAAATTAGTGTGCTTCCGACGAAAATGACCGACGTTCGCCGATTCACAGAAAATTAAAAGGCATTAAAATAAGCTGCAACGCTTATTATTTTAATCCAATTTTGCTTATTTTAATACTAAAATGGATTAAAATAAGCAGAATTGGATTAAAATAATAAGCGTTGCAGCTTATTTTAATGCCTTTTAATTTTCTGTGTTCGTATTTCGCTATTTTATTAGCTGCATCCGCTGATTTGTAGTGAAAACTTTATTCTCTGATTCAAACAGTGAAATTTTATCTAATTCAAATTTAGAGAGTAGGTACTTACTCTCTAAATTTGAATCGCTAATTGGTAACAGTGCTATACTTATCGCTTATTCAAATTTAGAGAGTATTATTACAAGATATTACAAATATTACAAATATTACAGCTATTACCGAGTATTACCAGGCAAGTGTACACTTGACTATACCAGAGTAAATTCCCCCTCGTAAAAAATTTCCTCTCTATTATAAAACTGGATTTTCAATTTTTTTTTCTTTTTTATAACTTGATTCTGCTAATAATAAACTCAACGAGGTGGTAATAATGATAATCATTATAATGTTCTAATTTCTTAAAAAAAGAAGTTTGCGCACTTATTACAAATTAGTATGTCTATATAATACACCTCTGGAAGATTATATCAAAATGGCCAATGTATATTATCCTATTTTATCGTTGAGTTGCGAGTTTACATCGTTATCTCATTGGGCATCGACGGAAGGCGTCAATGTCATTGAAGATACAGTAATTACAGAGATTCAATGACTCGAATCGTGAACTAATCTCATAAATCCTTCAACAGAGAGAATTTTCGAAATGTCATTCGAATTGAAAACACGTTAACATATCGTCTATATATATGCGTTTGATTAAATTTTCTAACGCACTTTTTTTTCGCACACGCGGAAAACAAATTTATTATACTCTTTTTTTTGTTCTGACAAAAAAAAAAATTTTTTTTTCAAATATCAATAATTTATGGGAGCAACAACATACGTCAAAGTTGATGATTTTTTTTTTTCACAAAAAAATAGCTTTGAATTTTTCGAAATTTCAAAACAAATCAAATTGAAAATTCGTCTAAAAGAAAAGTCTATCTATTATGAAATTAGATTAAAAAAAAAAATTCAATTTCAGGGGCATGTAAAATAAAATAATAATAAATTTTTACATTCTCATTTTTTAACGAGTATAAAATATGTATTAAGTGTTAACGTGAGAGTTAAATTTTGAGCAGGAAATAAGTGTAAAAGATGGCGAATCTTGACAGTCGTTTAAAGTCTAAGTCCATTAAGAAGAAGTCTTTCAAACCGGTTCATTATCTATATAAAGTTTCGTTTATCACTTCTTAGCATTTCACTTCTGAGTTTTTGGAATCAAGTGCTTCTCCAGGACTCTTTTAATGCACATTTAACCCAAGTATATTTATATAAATGAATGATACATATTTAGCAGATAGAAGAAAATTTACTTTTCACATTAATGTATTAAAGTACACATATTGATCTGCTTTTTTTAACTTCCATGTTTTCGTCTTTTATACAAGCAATCTTTTTTATCTCATTAAAAAAAAAAATAGAGATTCACTTTAGCTGATAAATAAACGCATTTTAATTTTATTTTTTATTAATTTCTAATTAATATATTAATTATTATTATTATTATTATTATAATTTAGACAATGAAAAAATGAATATTTGCATGAGATAAAAATTTGTTTCTATGTATAGGCTCTTGAAAACCAGATGTCTTTATAGAAAAAAAAAAGATTGAAAAATATGTCACTCTCTTCAAGAGATATGATATTATGAAATAATCGCTATATGTATATTAATCGATATTTATGCCAAATGGAATTTTAATGAGATATATAAGGGAATTCACATTAAAGAGATTAAGGACAAGTTTATATTCGCGGCTCCATTTAAATTCACTGCTTGTATTATTTTGCTGAAATTTAATCATTCATCTAAAGCCGGAAGAAGTTGAGACTCTTGACGAAAGTTTCATTTCTAAAGGCAATGATTAAAGAGATCGCAAAAGTATGAATAGAATTAAAAAAAAAATAAAAAAAAAGAACTACCAACATACTGAAAATTATACTAGGTACTTTATTTTCTGTATTACGTCAATAAAAATTCATTCCATTTACACTTTCAATTCCGTAATTCTGTTTTTAATTTCAAGAAAAATTTATTCAATCTTTTTAATTCCGAATATTATTATCTTAATTTAAAAAAAAATGTTATATTTACTCTCTAAATCTGAATTAGTAAAAAAGTTTACTAATTTGAATTAGGGAGCGTTCAAAAATTACGTAACGTTTTTTTTTTTAATTTTGACCCCCCCCCCTCCCCATGTAACACGTTATTGCATACATTAGCGCCATTTTTTCTGCTGTCCGTAACAAAGTGCTTGACCCCCCCCCCTCCCCGAAAAAAGGTTACTTAATTTTTGAACGCTCCCTTAGTGACTTACTTTTTGCTTCTTAATTAGTAAAATTTTACTAATTATTAGTAAAATTTTACTAATTATTAATTTAACTAATTTAAATTTAACTAAATTAACTAATTAACTAATTTAACTAAATTTAACTAATTTTAAAGCCAAAAAGTGAGTCACTAATTTAAATTAGTAAACATTTTTACTAATTCAGATTTAGAGAGTAAAAATTTTTTTAATATTTTTTAAAAATAATATAAAATTGTCCTTTTCTTTTATTTTAAATTGCGTCAATTTTTTTTTTTTAAACAGAAACAATTTGGTAATGTGAGATATAGGAATCGTATAATATTGAATGATTGACTGTGCTTTTGGCGAGGCTTCATTTCAGTTCATTTGAGAATAGAGAGAGAGAGAGAGAGAGAAATAATGGCGCAAAAGTGAAAATAGCCAGAGGTTGATATATTAACTTTACTTTTCCAGCTGACAATGTCGAATAAAAACATTTAGCTGGGCATTTCAAGTTCTGCAAACAGACGAAAATTGGATTCTGTATCATCGAAAACAGATGCGAAATCGTTCAAAAATTTCTATTTAACAAAATTATTTAAAAATTTACAAGAATATTATTTTCTTTTTAAAATACTTTGAATATTTTAAAAAACTTATATTTAAAATTTTCAATAGAACTTTTTTTTCAATTTTCCAGTTTTTTTTCTATTTCGAAAATTTGGAAATATTAAAATTTCTTTTTAAAACACTTTTTTGCCTATATATATTATGGAAAATTAATTTAACATTCTTACCGATTGCAATGCATTTTGGAACTGGATGATCCCATCCACTTTCAGTGCATGTTAATAATTTATGTCCCTTGAGCTTTCGGCCAGAATCACAAGAATAAACAGTCTGCAAAGAACCATTTTCCAACGTTCTTTCCTGAACTGCGCCCCATTTTGGTGGATGTACTTTTGGACAATTACCAAAGATACCTGTAATTTAAAATATATATTAAAAAACCATTTTTAAGCAAAAAAAAATTATTTTATTCCAAAAATTTACTTTATTTATTTACTTTCAATTTACTTTCAAATAAATATTTATATATGGGGCATTCTATTTTAAAATTATACCCCTAGTAAACAATTGACAATATAAGACATTTTTTAAATAATTATTTCTCCCATTTAATTAAATCAAATTACTTTTGCAATGAGTGGTTTCGAAAGAGAAATTTCTAAACTTTATTATTGTAAAAAAAATTTTTTAAAAAAACGTTTAATTAGCATAAAAAATTTAGTTTGAAGGTTAAACTTATATAAATATCTCAAAACACGTTGTCTCCGATTTTGACAAAATCTGTGTCAAAAGAAAGCTTAAATATTCTATTTTTTATTTCCGTAAAGTTTATAATGGACATTTTCGAGGATTTCGAGAAATTAATTAAAATTCTCAGACGTTTCAAAGGTTAAAAAGGGTTGAAATTTGCATGAATAGAGAACCTCTGTTCAAATACAGCGGCATTTGTTTTTACGAAATTTTTAAATAAATAAATTTTAAAACTTCAATTTTAATCTTAATAATTTTTTTAAATTTGAAAAATTTTTAATTGCAAATAGCTAAAGATCAATATATTTATTGTTTACAATATTTTTTTTTTCTCTAATGTCAAGTGATGTAATAATGTAAGGTTAATGGAAATTAAATTTAAAAAACAAAATCCGCTCTTAAAGAAATGATTCTCCATTCATACAAATTTCAATCCTTTTTAACCTCCGAAACGTCTGAGAATTTTAATTAATTTCTGGAAATTCTCGAAAATGTCCATTATAAACTTTACGGAAATAAAAAATAGAATATTTAAGCTTTCTTTTGACATAGATTTTGTCAAAATCGGAGACAACGTGTTTTGAGATATTTACAAGTTTAACCTTCAAACTAAATTTTTTATACTATTTCAATGTTTTTTTGAAAAAATTTTTTTACAATTGTAAAGTTAAGAAATTTCTCTTTCGAAACCACTTATTGCAAAAGTAATTTGATTTAATTGAATGGGAGAAATAATTATTTAAAAAATGTCTTATATTGTCAATTGTTTACTAGGGGTATAATTTTAAAATAGAATGCCCCATATAATTTTTATTTAAATCCAAATTCTTTTTGGCAGTGTTGTAATAAAAATTATAAAAAAATAAATATATATTTTTTTATATAGTAAAATAGAAAAAATAAATCTATGGTTGGTGTCTTGTATAAGAGGGTACATAAAATGGTATCTATTTTGAGGTAACAATGAGTAAATCTTTCCGAGTTCTATGCGAACGAAAAGAACTGGGAGTTTTCTTTTTCTTCTTGGTCGTAAAATATTCCCTCAAGAAATATACGACCTCCGCCCTCTTTGGCGTTAAGTCTTAATAAACGAAATGTCCATAAACATAAGAGAGGATCGAACAAAATTGAGAGATCGAATTTACAAAATGGCTTATTATTATATACTCAAAATATAAATAATTATATTTATCAAACAGGGCGGCACGCCTTTCAACGTATATATACAAACGCTGCGAGGACATAATTAATGCAACATTCACCCGACAGAAACCGAAACACACGCTATTGTGAAAAAAGAAGAAAAAATTACGAAATTACAATTTTTATTACTTTTATAATATTTATATAATAATATTTTATTTAAAACCTGTAATAAATTTTTTTAAGGTTTTTTTTTTTAAACTTTGTAATAGAAAAAAATTTACTATTACTATTTTTTTTTATTTCAATTATTTGTTGAATTCAATTTTATTATCAGCAATTATTTATGGATATAAATATGGATCAATATATAGTATTAAAAAAAAAATTGATTCACAGGCTTAAAACATAGATCAAAGGAATTTTTTTCCGCCGAGATGAAATTCTTTCTGATATTAAAAGTCTTTTGTATATACAAAATTTTCATTCACTATTATATAATAATAATAATAATAATAACGGTTTAAAATTTGTATTTATGTTTCGTGGAAAAAATTTATTTTATTCAAATAATGATATATTTTTACTTGAACAAAATAATTAAACTTTATTTGGACAAATTTCTGATTATTGCAACAAATATACCTTTCAAATAATAATTAAATATTTTATTTGATAATAAAGTAACGAAGAATTTTTTTTTTTAGTACTATAAATAATGAAAGAAACTGATGAGTATCAATTAGTAGCTAACTGACGCGTTGATATAAAAGTAAATAAAATCAACGCTCTTATCACTTAACATCCTGCGTCGATCAATCTTTATTTCTACAATAAAAATTGGCTTGCCAATAAATAATATTTTAAAAGTAAACTGCAATTTAAAAAAAAAATTATTTATTTTTTATTTATATTTAATCGATTGTATTTCGAAAATTGAATTTTCAAAAATGGTCTTTAAAGTCCTTTTTTTTTTTGAAATGTCACGTACAATATTTAAAAAAAAAAAAAACGAACAAATAAAAATTTCAGTATCAATAAATTAATTGCAGTCGCATTCAAAAAGGGAATGCACTCTGTATAACGAAAATAATAATACACACGTTATTTGATATCAGTTTGAATCCAGAGAGACAAAGCTGATAAAGTCATATCAAAAATATCTGCCTACAGCGTAATGCAATTTATAATTCACTCACTTTTCAAATCATTTTGTTTACGCCAAAAAAATAACACTATATATATACACGATTTTTTTCCTTAGATAAAATTTTATTAAACAATTTAAATATATAAAAAAAAGGTTAGGAAATATATTTTCTATATCAATAATTGACTATACTGGCGCAATATTGGCGCGGTATACCATTACTGTCACTGTAAAAAGAAGGTACTAAAATAGTACCGATTTTAGGTATTAAATTAGAACCAATAGGCAATTTAGTACCTAAAGTTGGTACTAAATTAATACCTTTCGTTTTACAGTGTACCAATATAGTAAAACGCTGATAGGGTTTCAAAAATATTTTATTTATTTTTTTATTTTATGAAAAAGTGTGGAGAATATTCAATTAAATTTGATACATATATATATATATATATACCAAATTTGGTTGACAATTTCAAAGTTGCTCTTTTCCATAAGTGGCATTGCTTTCAATGACAATTGATTGACACAAGACGTGAGTCAACATATCTTCAAACACACCTCCATTTGTTGTACAATGATCCATCCGATAAGTATATGTTCGTGTTCGACCCTATTAGGTTAAATTTACATATAGGACCACAATCACATACACTAATGTTCCTTGTTTTAACCGCGAGTCATTATCATAGGTTTGCAAATCTAATGTCTACTAATAAGTACACATATCTAGATTTAACAAGACAAACTACATGAAAATTCAATAAATGTCTCGAACATGAATTTTACTCATAAAAAATAATTTCATTTTAAAAAACGTAACGTTATTTTTAATATTGTTTACATTTTTAAATTTTTTATTTCTTTTCTAATTAAGAATTTTTCTTAAAAAAATTTTTATTCATAAAAAAAATATTTAGAGTATTCCTCTTCGATTAAGAGGAAATTTATATTTTGTCAGATTTTCTATCATTTTTCACTATTGGAATTTATCAATCAATTTACATTATTATTATTAAAAATAATAATTAATAATAATAATAATAATAATAATAATAATAATTAAAAATAATAATAATAATAATAATAATAATAATAATAATAATTAAAAATAATAATAATAATAATAATAATAATAATTAAAAATAATAATAATAATAATAATAATAATAATAATAATAATAATAATAATAATAATAATTGTGGCAATTTTTTTTAAGTCATTGCTCCTCGTGTGTGGAGTGAGTAAACGTTAGTAAATCGCGCGCATGGAGATGTAAGTTCTTATATGAGCTTGTTTAGTATATATATATATATGTACGTTTACATAAGCCAAGAACGGGATAAGGTTATATACACAAGGAACAACCGAGTGTTGAGGTCCTTTCCGTCTTATGATAGTTACGCTCGTTCGCGGTGAGATCAAACACAGTTCTCAACGAGGCAACCAAAATCACCGTATTCCTTAATATTATATATATATATGTACATACGAATATCAACACACAAATATTTTATAACTGAAAATTTCCTGAAAATGTACTTTTACTTTTTAAAATTGCAAGGAAAATATTTTTTTTCTTTTTTTTAACAGCAAAACAAATTAAATTTTTTTTTGTAAATAATATAGAAAAATTATAATAAAAATAAATATTGACAAAAATAATAATTAATATAATAATTAATATAATAATTAATATAATAATTAATATAATAATTAATATAATAATTAATATAATAATTAATATATATATACTAATCACGAAAAAAAATCTTTATCTGGAACAGCGATATGTTTCTTTAAAGTAGCGAAATCTTTCGCTGTTTTAGTGAAAACTTATCTTCCAGATTCCAATCAAAAATTTACTAATGGCGCAGTACTGGCGCAGTACTGACAAGTGTTGGCGCAGTACTGGCACCCAGTATTGGCTGCCAGAGTTGGTACCAGTACTGGCAACCACTACTGGTTCAGTACTGGCTGAGTACTGGTAGTTTTTATTTTAAATAATAATAATAATAATTTATTATATTTTTTATTTTCTACTATTATAAAGCGCTTCATTGTGTCACATTTTTGCTAAAAAAAAACGAAAAAATTCTATAATTTTTACACAGATTTTCCAAATCAAAAAATATACCCAATCAAAAATTTACTAATGGCGCAGTACTGGCGCAGTACTGACAAATACTGAAACCGCTAACATCTTAAAATTAAAATGTCTGGAAACTAGCGTAATTTTTATCTTAAAACTAGATTAAGTCAATTTTTAAGACTTAAAATCATACACTCAAGGCTGGAATTTAGTAAAAAAAAGGTTATAATGTTAACGATTTTAGTCAAAATTGAACTAAAACTAAGTATTATTTTTTAGT